TTTTAATAAAGTTCATAACTTATACTATTGGTCACAAATGTATGACGATATAAAAGATTATATTTGAGCATGTGACATATGTCAACGATGAGGATGAAAACGAAACCCTCAACCTCTACAGCCTATCCCTATAAGAGACCCCTTTGAAAAGTTGAAATTGATTTTGTTGAACCTTTACCTCATACATCTTGAAGAAATAAATATATTATTGTTATTACTTATTATTTAACAAAATGGCCCAAATCCTGAGCTGTTCCTGATGCAACCACTTTACAAGCTGCTACTTTTATATATGATAAAATTATTTGTTGACATGGATGTCTAAAAGTTATTCTATCTGATCGAGGATCTCATTTTCGAAATCAAATAATTGATGATCTTTTAACTCAATTTAAAATTAAATATATATATTTTACACTATGTCACTTAAAAACAAATGGTCTAACTAAGCAATTTAATCAAACATTAGGTGATTCTTTGGCAAAAACATCAGAAGTTACAACCAATTGAGATAAAAATATACCTTCAGTTCTTTTTGCATACAGAACTACTTATCAATTAACAACAAAAATTGAACCATTTTATCTTGTATATAGATGATCTGCAAAATTTCCAATGCATAAAGGATTGAAAATTGCTAAGACAAATTTGTTGACTTGTCTTTTTACTCTTGTTGATGAGTTACCTGTTATCTGAGGTCAAACACAACTGTGAATTAAAAGGTAACAATTGAAACAAAAGGAATATGATAATTAACGAATTATTAAATCTGTTGTGTATGAAATAGGAAATAAGATTTTGCTATATGAGGCTGCAAAACATACAAGTTATACAGAAAAACTTGATCCAAAGTGAAAAGGACCATACTATATTCATGACCTTTTATATCCAAAGGTATATAAACTAAGGACTCTAGATGGAAAAGTTCTATGTGCACCAATTAACAATTCATTGCTTAAACTGTATTATAAATGGACCAGTTAGATACCACAAATCACTATTACATAAAAGTATCACAAGGATTAAAGTTAAAAGTCTTATCAGTTTAACCTTAATTAGTTATATATATAACTACTGCTTAATGAAAATTTTCCTTAAGTAAATTAATTCCTATAGTACATATCAATCTCAAAAGTGTAAACAAGATATATTAACTGTTGAAAATTATACTATTCAACAGATACCAGTTCCTTATAATATTATAGAGAATTGAAAAATATCCATGCAAAATATGTATTTAAAATTTAAGGATAAAATTAAATATTGTCAAAGGATAATGATGATAGTTTATGCATATTACTTAGGAGAATTGATTTATCTTTCCATTATGTCTAGAGAAAAGTGGTTAGAATTTGTTCAACTAAAACAAATTCGATAAGAATATTATTATTATCTTGGAATAACTTGAGTATATAAACTTTTTAAGTCCAACATCGAACAAATCTATCGAACAACTTATTTATTGTATCATGTACTTTTGAATATGAAGTCTATTGATTATAGGTCATTAGTGAGTTATCATCAGAACCTTAATGATTTCACTTTTGATTTTAATGAAGTTATAAGTGGAACTTTATAACTAAGTCGAGGGAAATTGTTGACCCTAGTCATCAAAATTTATTATTATTATATTTTTATCTTATTTATTTATTATATTATTATTTTATCATCATGTATTAGCTTATTTATAACTATATTATATTAGTTCAATTTCATATTTTTATTAGTATATATTATATAGGAAATTATTGATGTAAATCATTTAGAAATTGTGACAACTATTAGATATTACGACTGTAAATCGAGTGTAATCAACAGTGTAATCAATAGTGTAATAAATAGTCCAATAGATAATGTTATAGAAAATGTAGTTAATAGTATATACATCAGTGTAATTTATTATAACTTCAATTATATATAAAGGGCTAAATTTCTCTTTGCTCAGTTCAGAGTTCCAATTTAGTTCTTTAGCTAGTTCAGTATCTAACTATTAGTTCTTGTTAATAAAATACTTTGTAATTTACTTTATAAATAATAAATACCTTAGTGGATTATTATTTATACCATTGTAATTTCTTAGTGAAATTCTGTATTATTCCGAGGTGAAATAGCAAAACCCTTGATTGATTATACCTTGCTTTGTGATCTTGGTATACTGTTTTTGTGTTATAATTCTCTACTTAGTGTTAGGAATTATCAGTTTAGTTTAGTTTAGTTATATTCTTTGTGAATAGTTTGATTAAACTCTTATAAAAATCTCATAGCCTTGCCTCTTTCAAACAAATCTGCAACATCTAAATTCTTCAACCATATTACTTTTTAGTATAAATTAGTTAGTAGTTTATTATATTTTAATTTAGCTACTGTATCTTTAGCTAATAGTTAACTGTATCCCTTGAAGGTCAGATCACAGTCAATACCATTTATCACGAAATAAAGTTTTATTAAGTTTTCTGAATTATTACAGAATATTTTATTTATTTAAGGAATTATTATTATTACTATTATTATTATTTTATAATAAAGTTTGTAAATCTCCAAAATTTATTAAAATGTTATAAAAGTATAAAATCCTAGTAAAAAGCCAATCTCCCTCTTTTCTTATCTCAAATTACCAGTTATTTTATATATTTTCAAACTTGTTTTCTTTCATCCATTGTTGTCACATCTAGACACATTTTTTTCATATTCTCAGAAGATGACACACAAGGATGAAAGATAACATGCAAAGATGAAATACTTCACACAAAGATGAATAATCTGTCATCTAGATGGTAACACACTCATCCTGGTAACACTGTCACCTTACTGTCATCTCCTGTGACATTTCACAACATTTTGAAATCCCGTGCACACCCCATGTGGAATTCATGCACCTCAATATCAATTGAAATTTTTATTTGGAGATTGAGTCTTTTTAATTCAAGTATTTAATATAACTTCTATAAACTTAAAACTATGCAAATAATTGTCAATTTACAAAATTATTTAAAAACTGTATTGCTATTTTTTGCTCAATAAAAGTATCAGTTAAAAGTCTCTAAATTTATATAAATTTATAACATTCTTATTAGATTACTAGCTTTAAAATCTACAAAATCCATTTAAAAAATTTCCGTCTAAAAATACATGGATTTATTATTATAAAATTTTCAATGAATTCATCGTTCATATATGTTGTGAACTAGCAATTAATCATCACATAGAGAGTAATAAAATCACGCTTCCCTTCTACCACACTCCTCCACATTCTTTCTCCACCTATTAACAACTTTGATATAAAATCTCTACTGTAAAGATTCCATAGATTTAAATTCATTTAATTGATTATTAGTATAAACTTCTATTTGGATATATTGATTATTTTTTCGGATTGAATGTTTTCAAGAGAAATCACAAATATTTTCTATAGTTGTTCTTTGCATTGAATAAAATATTGATGATGGGTGTTTTCTCTTAAACCGGATTTAACAATTTCTAATATTTCTAAACTTTGTTTACCATTAAATGGAGGTGGAAGTTTTCTACTTGACAGCTCCTAAAAAAGAACCCCAAACTATGAATGTCAGAAGCTTTATTTCTTTCATACTTCATATGATTTCGTAAAATATTTAAGATCTGAATAAGCAAATATTCTTCTTGCAAAGGAAATAAAATTTGTATCTAATGGTTGAGATAAGTCTAAATATGTAATTAATAATAATCTTCCTTCATGAACTAAAACTTTCTTTTGATGTATTAAAAATGAATTTGGATATGAAATTTTATAATTTATAATTTATAAATTTACAAAATCACCCTATACTGTATATAAAATATACTTAATAAATCTCGATGAACAATATTTGCTTTTTGTCATATCTTATGAAATAACTTCAAAACCAAATTAAATATGGCTCAAGTTCTTAAATTATCATCATTAGCATATTGTAACACTAATTTCTCTGTTGAATGAATAATATGATTATAATATTTAATACTTTAATATTTTAATTAATTGAATATTGTACAATATAAAATTCTCATTTAAAGATATTATAAGGGGACTTGTACCCAGAGACCTAATCAAGTCCACGAAAACATTAATAGAAGTACTCTATTGCCAAAAAAGTTATCTTTAACAAGTGTAGGTTAAGACACACTGTCCTTGAATGGATTTCCTTTCAGGTGACAGCAAGTTGTTGGTATATTCAATTTATTAACAATGTTATTCATAAGAGATCGTTAAAGAAAACTTAATTGAATTTTGTATAACATAAATTCTAATAAATAATAATCTATTTACTGCTTAATAAATAGTTTAAAAGTTTAAAAAGCAAATATAATTGATTTTTCGTCTCAAAAATATTAATTATTGTAAAAAAAAATATTTATAATGCTTTATAAAAATTATTACTATTTTAATTGCAACATGTTTTTTAAAACTTTCGATTAGGCAATGATTGACTGCCAAATGCAATTAATTCGATATCTTCAAATGTATTATTCGATCATCTCCGATCTAAATACGTACCAACATAATTATCTAATATAAAGATTGAAACGTTACTTAAGATCCTAAAGAAATTGAACAAAAAAAAATATTCGCATGGATCAACAGGATACGATACGTAGTCTATTTGCTTTTTCAGATATGTATATCCGTTGATCCATGTTAATATGGTGATCGTCAAAGGGACAAATACTGCAAAGTGCATCTTATAACTTTTAGGCTACTTAAGACTCTTTAAATCATTTAGTGTCTGATGGAAAAAATTTTTTTTGACATAAATTTTACAATACATTTAAAAAAAATCATTTTATTTTTGTACCTAATACTAACTAATTTTTTTTTTTTAATCATCAACTGCAGTATTATTTATGGGCCAACACCAATTAAAAATTTTCCCTTTGTTCTTTATGACCAAATGAGTCGATCTTGTACACAAATTGATAAACGCTTATCTCCCACATTTTTTTCCATCATTTCATTTGTTTATGATATCCTCTTCCTGGAAACCATGTCTGATTCTTACCAAACGTATCAAATTATTCAACAACCAAAAGATAATACATATGATTTCATTTTTGAAACTAGTGGTGAAATAACGAATGATGCCAGAACTAAAAAATTACAACGAAATGCTAAAGATATCGTGCGTCTCATTAATGTTCCATTCCCCCCAAATTTATCTGCGGAAGATCTAATAAGACCCAGAAATGAGAAATGTGGCAAAGTGAAAGTACCTAATAAATTCTTTATATACAGAAAATGGTATACCATGTGTTTGGCCAATGGTGGACAGACAAATTATCAAACTTCAATTTCTCGTTATATTTCTGAACAATGGCGCAATGAACCTGAACACGTAAAGAATTATTATGGTACCTTATATATACGTGCAGGTGAATTGTTCAAAGAAAGATATAAAAAAGATGGAATTAAAAAACAAACTCCTCGTAAATATAAATTATTATTTAATAATTCCTTAAAGTATTTAATAATGATTATTTTTTTTTTTAACTTCAATATTCTCAAAAATTTTTATAGAATGAAAAAAAAAATATTCGTAGAACACGAATAAAAAAGTTATGAGGTTTGAACCTCCATTATTTTCTACGGCTTTACGTCATTTACCAAATAATTGCATATCTTCACGTGTAACACATTCATCTCCTAAATCTTCAGATCACATCTAGAATGTTCGCTGTTACAATCTTCTATCCATTCCGGTTTTTTCTTTCATAAATTAAAAATTTCCAATAATATTTTTTCATTAAAATAAATCAAATAATTTAATTCAGTGGAATAATCACTAATATTTGGTTCATACACCTTTTAAAGATAGTTCAATTTCCTAAACCCAAATATGAATTATCATTTTTTTTTGATGATTTGAATAAATGCAATAAATTTCTCTTTAAAAATTATTAGATGCAAACAATAGGACTTTACGCTTGATTTTTTTCGTGAGTGCTAAAATTATATTTTCCATTTTAATTATTATTTATTTATTTTATTATATACTTTTATTTAATGATAAAACAAAAAAAAAATTAAATAAACAAATACCGTAAACCCTTTATAAATGCACCTCCCTGGGACCAAAAATCAGCTTGCATTTATAGAGGGTTCACTGTATAAAGAATTATTTATTTTATTTTAGAATATGAAATATAATTGAGTACTAATGGTTATTTATTTAATTCAGTTGTCAAGAACTTTACATATTGAAAACAATGTAAATTTCACATTGAATTTATACATCTCTAAATTTCGCATTGATTAATTCTTGCATTTATTGGATTTTAACTAATTATATTTAAAAAGGTCACTAATATTTAGTTTAATAAAAATAAAAATACAGTTATATAATTTATATCAAAATAAAATCACTAAAATTAGTTTATTGGTCATCTAAATTGATACGATCTATATATTTATTTATATCAAATTTTGATTTATGAATTGCTGAACTATGCTGCATTAAAGGTTTGCTTATAAGATGTGTTTCAGACCAAGCAGTTTCATTATGTAATGATTCAAAATCTACATTTTGCATTTCTTGATCTGAATTTAAAAACATCAGTGCATTTTCTGATTTTTTAATGGAAGATAATCTAGAATCCATTTCTCTAATTTATTAAAAATCATTTTAGCACTTGATCGTTCAGATGGATTATTGTGCCAACATTTTTTCATCAATTCAGCATAACATTGTTGTGTTCCTTTATTAATTTTTGGACGATGTTCATTGAAAATAGCTCTGGATCATATGATTCTCAAATGGTATGTTGATATTACCCACATAATAATTCAAACACTATAAATATCTGAAGCCTGTGTATATTGGTTTTTATTAAGGACCTCTGGTGCAATATATGGCAATACACCATATGTTCCAGACGAAATGATCTCGTTTACTGGTCTGCATAACCCTAAATTCCCTAATCTTATGAATTTTGACCCATCATTTGTTTCAGTTATCATAAGGTTTCCTGGATGAAGATCACGATGAATAAATCTTTTACTGTGAATTGTTATCAATCCTCTAATAAAAGAGTTCAATAACCATAACTGTTCTTTCCAAGGCAATGTCTTATTTTGTTTAAGTTTTTCAAATTTCCATCTTTCATATATCGTAAAACTATTGCATATTCTTTTGTCATTGGATCTTGTGTGATACCCATAATTGGTAAAACATACTTATCTCGACAATAGAAATTTACAATTAACTATATTGTAAAGTTATAAAGTTATAAAGTTAAAATTAAATATTTCAAACATTAAAAAAAATTACAGAACTAATTTGTTGTGAACTCTTAAGTTTCTTCAAAGCAACTTGATTTGAATTATAGAATCCAAATGATTCTTCAGGCATATCCATCCATTCTGCCTTCCAAACACTACAAAAACCCCCTTTAGCTAAATATTCTATATCTTTAAATTCGCTATAATCTATCCATCTCCATGTTTCCCATTCATTTGCATCTTCATCTAATTGAGACATATAATTAATCTTGTCAATTAAATAATTACCGGTCCATTTTGGCAAATAACTCATTTTAATAAGTTTATAATTTAGACATCTATTTTTGTATATATATAAATTTCCACAATCATGACATGTACCTAAATTTTTGTAATTGCTTTTTGCAGATTTCATTGCAACCATTTTCTTTCCAATAAATAGAGCAAATGTTACTATAACCTTTAGTGCCTTGAATTAATTTAAATTTATTTTTCAAAAATTTGGAGTTCAAAATTTCATTTCGATATAAATATTCAATCAAACTCCAATGCCTCTGAAGTGCTTTCTCTTTATCTTTTGTTGTTCCAATTGTTCCAATTTTATATTGATAATGACCCAGACTATTCTGCACACCATTATATATACCTTCAGCTGATTTTAAGTACCATTGGAATGCTTTCTGTTCGTCTTTTGTTGTTCCAATCCCATATCGATAATAATCTTCAAGATTATTCTGTCCTGAGTATTTCCCCTTCAACTGATTTCATGTACCCCTGAAATTCTTTCTCGCCATCTTTTGTTGTTCCAATCTCATTTTCATAATGATAACCAAGACTATTCTGTCCATCACTATCTTCGCTTTCAGCTGATTTCAAGCACAACTGGAATACTATCTCAAAATCTTTTGTTAAAATTTTATTGCATATTTCCATTTCTGCTGAAATTATGCTCAGAATAGAGTTTCTATTAAAATCAAAATTTGAAACTTAGTATAATTATAATTAATTGGGTATAAAATCAGGTGGCACATAACATATAAGTGTTTTTGGATTTTCAAATTTTATTAATTATATATCTAAATTTTCTTAAAATTATGTAATTTTAGGAACGATAAATATTCTATTACTATATTTTTTGAATAATTTTTTATAAGAATATGTTGGTATAAGTTTAGAGTATATATTGATAAAGTTTGAGACTTCTAGTTAATAATTTTACTAAGCAAAAAATTGCACGGCGAATTTGCTAATTTATAATGTTTATAGAAATTTAAATTTTATAATAACCATTTCAAAAGGAGAAATTTTTCTAATTTTTTTTTTTTAATTTCATTTTTTGTCTAAACAAGTGGATCTTGAATAACGATTATTATCTAATTAGAATATTAGTCATTTTTTTCAAATTTTTTCATTATTCCAAATGTTACATATGTATACAATCTAAATATATAAAAACATGCCAAAATAATTCTTACTGTATTAAAAAAAAAGAAATTAAGGTTAATGTCCCTGTCCCAATCACATCTCCTATACCTTCATCTAATATTATTTTTCATAAAGAGAATGGCCAGTTAAAGATAAATCTTAAGACAATTGCAAATAACAAAAGAGAATAATTTTAATGATAAACAAGTGGAGTGAGTCCAGATGATGCTTCGCACCTTGAAGACGCAATAGGATACCTATCAAGGTCGTACGATTAAATTACGCATTTGGAAGACCAGAAATGCATAACTTTCCTAATATATAACATATATTTATTATACATGATTTCGATTACACTAAAAGTCAAAGCAAGTATCCAATAATCTTTTTTGTAATTATCACTATTGAAATTGGGTATGCAATATCTGTTAGGTCTTAGATTACGCAAATAACTTAAGCCTCTTTTGGATTCTGAAACAATTACCAATAGTATTTTCGCGTTATACAAAAATCAGCAAGCAGAGATTTATAATATATTAAATGATTATTCATAGATTCAATAGATTCACAAAAAAAAATGATGGAATCCGAGTCAACTTCTCAATTTGATAAATTTGATAAATTTGATAAATTTGATAAATTTGATAAATTTGATAAGGTATATAATGGTACTTAAAAGAATAAGAAAATGAAATAGGTATGGCTAATTACCTTTTTTTTATAAAGATTCTTCTTAAAATTGAACAAGAACTGAAAGGAAAAGAGGCAGGTATCATAAAGATTAATTTTCCTGCTGAAGAACTTAGCAACCTTGATGTACGTGAATTTATTCATCTTCACTTTAATGCTGAAATAATTGGAGATAATCTATTTATCAAAGTAAGTTTTCACTATGGCTTTGCATAAATATCTTTCATACTCTTATTAATTTTTTATATTATCCAGTATAATTGTCCACTAAAAGAAGACCTTGATCATGAACTTGCAAATTCTCTAGAGAGAAAAACACAAGGTTGGTATATATCAGTCAATAATATATGTGTAATTAATGATAGAGAACTACGATGTGACGTCGGTGTATGGTTTCAACGTCCAACTTTTGCACAAATGCAAAGGCCTATCACTTATTCATGTCCATCTTCTAATGTGTGGATTGAGGTAATTTAATGATTTTCTGGTTGAAAAAAAATGTAACCAATATTGTTTAATGGATAATCGAATATTTGCAGGTATTTGACAACATCGACAGTGACCGTAACTATGCCTTAAACAACATCAATTGGCTTCAGCAGAATACAATTGGCATTGAATTTGTAGCAATAGCTTTTCCTGGATCCCCTTTTCATTCTAATCCTGATCCTCAAATGATTACCACTCATGCAACTAGTCAACATACACAACCTACAAAAGCACCATATGTTTGTCATTGGGACATAAGTAACAATGAGATTTGGTACCAAATGGATTGGAATCATCATATTACCCTTAGATGTGATCTAATAATAGACTTTAATGTTATACTTAACACATTGATTGAATAAGTTTCTAGAACTTAGTCTTTATTTTTATAAATTACTTCTTTTCTTATATGCAAAATAATAAAGACACATTATAATAGAAATTCTGATTTTCAATTGAAACTTTGGAATTTATTTAAGCATGAAATTTTTATGATCATAATGTGTATAAAAAAAACTTTATTGGATAACTTATAATGTAAATGTGTTAACCAATCTAAGTTTTATCAAACAATACATAAGCTTTTTCCTAATCATATATAAACTTGTGCTCTTTTCCTAAATTACAACATCAAGGGTTAGAAGAAGACCCATGGATTCTACAATCTGAGTTGAGATCAATTGTTGATTAAGTTATAGACACTCGGTCCTTTGTGACAACTAAAACTTATTAAGGTTCTTTTACAGAGAAATATCAAATTATTTGCAACTACAGTGTGTTGCAAAAGTTTTGAACAATTTTAAAAAGCAATTGTGCAATAATGGTAAATTAGATTTACATAAAAACTAATTATTCAAGACATCAAAAGTATTAGATTTGTTATAATAAAAAAAATAGGAAACATATTCCATATTAAATTTTTTATTAAGTTCACAACATTCCTTCATGAAATGTACTAAGTTAATTACAATAGTATTTGGGATATTATTCCATTCTTCTATCATAAAACATTTTAAATTTTTTGATTGTCATTTCTCCATATTTCCCTTAACAATACTCCATAAATTTTCAATAGAATTGAGGTCGGGACTATTGGATGGACAATTAATTATTTCAGGGAAGTTTTTGTTAAGAAATTCTTTTGCTACAAAGCTAGTATGCTTGGGATCATTATCCTGTTAGAACTTTCAGTTATTTCTCAACATTCTTTTAATCTCGAGTAGATGTTTTTTCAAAATATCAATATAAAATGAACCATTCATGATTTCTCAAAAGCAAAAAAGACTAATTTTTCCACATGTACAAAATCTACCTCAGGCAAAAATTTTTGATTGATATTTTGGAATGCAATATACTGGGTGTCAACCTTTATACCAATATTTAATTGTATTTCTAAACAGCTGAAAGGCTGCTTCATCTGAAAATAATGTTTTTTTCCAATTATAACAATAATTATAATAATAATAATAATAATCGATCAGCATCTTGACGAAATAATGGTAACTGACAAGGAGTTAATTTGGTTGAAATTAATAAAAACAAGAATGAATATTACACTGATAATTATGACAGTGAATATAAAGTATATGAAGTAATTAGAAATAAACCTCAGGTCCATAATAAAATACATCAAACTAGAGATCAACAACAAAGATAAAGAGCTAATTCAGAAGGAGAAACTATTTATCAAAGTTCAAATTTTGATAACAACTCTATAATTGTCGAATCTTCCATTACTACCATACCAGAATCATCAACTATTACCCCTGCTAAATTATCCAGAACTAAATGTCAATCTTCAGTTATAGATCATTTATCACATTACAACATTTCTAAAGATATTTTGAACATGCAAGCTAGTGTAATTATTGGTCAAATGTTACATTATTCAGATCAGAAAAGAAACTTTTCCAAAATTTTAAAAAGATCCATAATAAAAGAAACCAATTACATAGCAACTGAGGAGAAATAAATAACTGCTACCAAGTGTTATATCCAAATTAGAAGAAATCCAATCAAAGCCATCCTGGACTCAGGAGTTACAGTCAGTATTATAACTGATAAATTAAGAAGAAAGTTAAGAATTTCTATTGATGTTTCTTTCAAGGTGGTAGTTATTACAGCCAATGGCACCAGAGAACGAGTTCTTGATCAAATCAATCATGTGAATATTAATATTCAGGACTTATGAATCCCTATGAAACTTCAAGTGATTGATTTCACTAAAGATAATTTACTATTAGTGACAGATTGGTTTGACAAAACTAAGACACAATAGGATTTCAAAAATAGAGTATTAACAGTCTGTTATAATCATAAAAAAGCTGTTGATACAATTCACACTGTTACCTCTAGTCCTTATATTATTCATGAAGAAAAAAATGACATAAATGATCATCAAATACAACAGGAACTTGAATATGACCTAGAAGATGAATTAGAGGAGTATAAAAACTATTATTCTGAAGAAAGTACTATCAATGATTTTTTGAAAACTATTACACTCCTGAAAAAGATGAAGTTATTAATCTTGCATTATACTTAACTGAATACTCTCATAAAGAAATTAAAATCGAACACTCTATACTTGATGAAGCTCAAAGGTAACAAATTGACAAATTATTTGTAATATATGCTAATATATTTGTGAAAATATTTCAGAAGAAGGTCAAACATTAGAACTAGAACTGATTACTGAAATAGTTCATGAAATTAAAACTAGTGACACTAGTCTGATTAAACAAAGAGCTTACTGAGTTGCACCTAGTAAAAGAAAGTTCTTACAACAAGAAATTACTACAATTTTAAAAAAGAAATTATTCAAGAATCCAAAAGTCTCTAGTCCTTACCTGTAGTAATTGTGTCAAAGAAAAATGACAAATGACGTCTATGTGTCAATTATCAAAAACTAAATAAAGAAACTGAAAAGGATGTATACTCTTTATCCATTATTAACATTCTTGACTTTTTTAAAGACACTAAATGGTTCACAAGTTTAGACTTGGCCAGTGGTTATTAGCAAGTTGCAATAAAAGAAGAAGATAAAAAGAAGACCACGTTTATTATGCAAATGAGAACTTATAAGTTTAATATAATATTCTTTAGCTTATACAATGCTCCTGCTACCTTTTAAAGATTAATGAATAAAACTTTACAACCCTACATTAGAAAAATTGTAATAGTTTATTTAGATGATTTGACCATATACTCTGACACTCTCAAAAAATATTTAAAACATCTTGTTACTATTTTAATATATTACAAAAAGCAAATTTGAAAATTAACATGATAAATATCAATTCTTTCTATCAGAAACCAAATTTCTGGATCATGTTATATCTGACAAAGGTATTCTACCCAATGAAGATAAAATTATTAAAGTTTTTAACTTTAATAAACCAACCAACCTATATCAACTAAGAGGATTTTTAGAATTAGCCTCTTATTATCACAAATTTATCAAAAACTTTTTCAAAATTGCTAAACTATCTAACAAATTATTACAAGAAGATATCAAATTCAAATAAGTTGAAGCTCAGTAACAGTCCTTTAAAACTTTAAAAAAAAATTAATTTTCATTCCTATATTAAGACACCCTGACTTTAACCAACTTTTTTACTTACACACTGACACATCCAGATCAGAATTAGGTGCAATACTCATACAAAAAGAAGACAAAAGTGAATATGCAATTTCTTATGCAAGTAGAAGCTTGAATAAAGCTGAACAAAATTATTTCACAAATGAATTGGAGTGTTTAGCCATAGTCTCAACTATAGAACACTTCTGTCAATATTTTAGAACAGCTCACTTCTATATTATTACTGACCATTCAGCTTTACAATGGTTAAGGACCACAGAATTAAGAGGGAAGCATGCTCACTAGATCCTCAGATTAGAATCTTATATATACTATTTACATAGACCTGGAAAAAAATATAATAATACTGATTCTTTATCCTGAATATATGAAATTTAATAATCAAATATTTGACCCTATTGAAATAATATACTAGTAATCTAATAAAGTTAAAAATAATCCAGTCTAGGTAGTCAGTATCTTGACATTTGAATTTTTAAACCTTCTTAATATTTAAACACTTTTACTTTTTCAAACATGAATCTCCAAGAATATCAATACCTTTTAAATTATTTATCTTAACAACATTTACCTATAATTGATATTAAAAACAAAAGAAGATTAGAATTAAAAAGTAGATTTTATCAAATACAAAATAACATTTTATACAAAAAGGATTGAAGATATAAAACTCGTAACAAACTATTAAAAGTATTAAGACATCATGAAGTAAAACCTGTTATCTACATGATATATAATAACCCTTTAGAAAAACACTTAGGTGTCAATACAAAATTAGAAATATATATTATTGGTCACAGATATATAACAATATTAAATCTTATATACAATCTTGTGACACATGCCAAAGAAGAGGAAAAAAAAAAAAAACTCAATTATTACAACTTATATCAGTAGGAGATCCTTTCTATCAAATAGGAATTGATATCATTGGACCTTTACTCCAAACTCCAAGAAATAAATTCTATATTGTTATTGTTACTGACCACATGACAAAGTGACCAGAAGCTCGAACTCTTAGTGAAGTAACTATAAGCAAAGTTACTGAATTTATATTCGAAGATATTATTTGTCAATATAGTTGCCCTCATATAATTCTATTTGACCAAGGAACCCATTTTAAAAATAATATAATAGTTGATTTGTTAGCTCATTTTCATATTAAACATTTATTCTCTATACCCTATCATCTACAAACAAATGGATTAGAATGATTTAATAGAACTTTATATGAATCACTTGCTTGTACTACTGAAATTGTTACAAATCGGAATATAAATATTTTCACTATACTATTTGCCTATTAAACAATGAAACAAGCTACTATCAAAATTGAACCCTTTTATCTTATATATGGAAGACATGCCTGTATACCTCTTATAGAAGGAATTGAATATGCTAAAGAAAATTTATTAACATACTTATTTCACTTAGTTGATGAATTCCCAAGAGAAAAAGAAGATATAAAGTCTAAAATCAAAGTTAAATAATAAAAACAAAAAAGCTATTATAACTAAAAAGTTAAGATTATCATAATATATAAAATAGGTAATAAAGTTTTAATATACAATATAATAAAAGGTAAAAATTATTTTGGTAAATTTGAACCAAACTGAAAAAGACCTTACTATATCTATACAGTACCATATCTTAGTATGTACAAATTGAGAACCTTAGATAGAAAAGTATTAAAAATACCAATTAATAGTTCCCTATTGAAAAGATATAATGAAAGAAATTCTTAGGTACCACAAATTACAA